ATACTACCTAATTAGTTGATTTCTGTGTTCATCGGCGTATTCCGCAGCTACTACGTTTGTTACACCGGAATTTGGGAATGCCGCAGCCATTGTAGATCGTTCGTACCACAGAGCGTAAATCACGGAAGATTATTATCGATATCCGTCGGATCTGACACTCAAATTGTCAGTTACCAAGTGTACAGTATATTTTCTGGGTGGCAATGGTTTTGCAATTTTTATTTTATTTTTTTTATTTCATTTATAATAATAATTTATTTTATATTTTATTTTATATTTTTATTTTTTTCTTTTTCTTATTTTTATTAAAAACTTGCATCCAACCAATGGATTGAAACAGAAGGACAGTTGTTATGTAAAATTATGCATTTGTTCTATTCTGCAAACCTAATTATACTTTCCGGGAAAGTCAATGAGCGTGCTCAATTTGAAAGTTGTACAACTGGTTAAAGTAAAAGAGAATTAATTTAACGAACGATAATGTGACCCATGATACCGCTGATTTACTCTGTCGAATAGTTCACAAGAGGTTGACATTCGGTATGACGGTATCTCGGATGACGATCCGGCAATTCCGTACGTCAATTAGATGCGAGAAGAGACCAAGTTATTGTCGCAATGCACCAAAATATGGTCCATGTTGGAAACTTTTCCCTACTCGACTACCTGGACGCGTTGACAGCCAAGAAGTCAAAAAGAGGTTGATTATGTCAAGATGCGACTATTACCAAATGGAGTGAGTGAAACTATAAATGATATGGTCAAAGAACATGGGACTGATGGAATACCTTTCCCAACGAAATAGGCAAACATCCGACTTTAATAAGGGTATATATGGATATCAATCCTGATCTTTTTCCTTTTGTTGAGGCAACGTGCCCCGATGGCGATTTTATTGACCTCCATATCTGTGACGACGAGCTGTATTGGAGGCCAAAGTTTATCATGCTGCCAGAATTTAAGTCAGGAAACGAAGCTGAAAAGGTCAATGATACATTATCGAATGTGCTGTCAAACATTTTTACTACGAGCCGCAATCAAGACACATTGTCAAACATTGAAGTAATAATTGTATTATAAGCAATGTGATTAGAATCTGTACAACAGTTACTATCTCGCACAAAGGAAAAGTCTTTGGGTATAGACGTGCATAGAACCACAAATTCTGAAGATATATGCTAAATAGGCACCGAAGCGTATTAATTATGAGTTAACTCGTTATAGTCTTTGATGGGTCTTATTTGGAATATGGAAATGTATCTTTCCATCTCTATAGCTTTTACATTTCCGAAAGTTGATCACCATAATTCGTTCTCTGTTAAACGCCGATTCATCGTCGGTATGCCATTCCTTTGTCCTTATAATACCAGCACCATCTTCCAGAGTATACGTCGTGCACGACGGATTTATACTATCTATAACATGATACTGTTACATTGTCTTGCAAATGTTACAAGCATTAAAAATATCCAAGCTATACTGTAGATGAGCCAGCCTGATTATAAAGTATTATCTGTTCTACACACTCTTTGTGTCTTATATCAAAATACTTGCGCTTACACGCATCCGGTGATCTTGATGGTAGGTAATTTGAAATTATACGCCAATCAGTCCCATACTTATTTACACATTCACACAAAATACGCTGCTCGTCAACAGTCCATTTAGGTGGTTGCCGTTTATATACCCTTTGAAGACTAGTAAACAAGTATCTATGCCCCTGAACGTAAGTCCTAATTGCAGTTAACGTTCTATGCGGCAATTTTTCGCCCAATTTCGCCCAATGACGTCCAAATTTGTAAAGAACGTCATTGATTATTTCTATTTCTTTGCGGCTCCATCTTAAAACGTAGGTTGATCGCTTCTCAAAATGTTCTGAATCAGTATCCCACATAGAGGGTAATTTATCGAGATGGTAATTCGTGTAGTTCGATATACTTTTAAATGTTCTGCTTGAAAATTCTGATGCAATCGCACTCATATTTTTTCCGTGTTTGGCTATGAGACGATTTAGCAATGCGATTTCCTCATTAGTCCATCTCGACCTATTCGGGTAAATGTATGGGTCAGTCCAATCACACTTAATCGCCGAAAAGCCCTCTCTACGAGCCGCTGACGCACAAGCCGAAGGAGACCTATGTCTCATTTTACTTGATATTAATGTCCAGCGTCTTCCATATCTCATAATTAATGTTAGCAACAGCTCCTTCTCTTCGGCGCTCCAATAACTTCTACCCGGTTTAGGTTGACGTCTCCTATTAAAATGAACCTTTGGAGATTTATCAGCCCATTGCCTATAGCATTCTTCAGGTGTTCGGTCAACTAACTGTGATGCAATTTTCACCCAGTTTTGTCCAAATTTGTCAATGAGAGCGTTCAAAACTTTCTTTTCTAGAGCGGTCCATTCTTTGTGCCGTCGAGCAGGACGTTGTTCGTCAACTTTGTTAATTTGCTCATTAGAGCTTGAGCCAACGATTTTCACTTGATCTACTAGTGTTGCATAGCTGCGTGCGAAGCAGGTAGAACATTTGATCACTCGATAGCTGAGCGACACTTGTGAAGGAAGTAGAGAAATGGATCCTCTTATAAAAGATCGAACCATCAACGCAAAGACGTCTAGCCTCTGGCCCACCTCGGAGCAAACGATCGATGACTAAATACTTAGAAGTTCATTAAACGTTTATGGTTTATTGTTGAAAAGCAAAGTCAGAAAACTCAAACACGGAGAATTTGTCGATTGCAGATCACATATTATCGGCCGATGACGTATTTTATTGAAAATCTGCTCATATCAAATATAGACAATAGCTTATTCTTTATATTTTCGCTCTTTTACAAATCACGCGTACATTCACCAAACAGCTACTTAATTATTTTCTACTTGCAATTATCACCAGCTTACATTCCCTTTATCATTTTATATTAATTTAATGGCTTCAACAGAGAACGGCAAATCAGCGACCACACCAAAGAAACTAAGTATCGTCGATAGTATTATGCCATACGCCGATCCTTCCGGTAAGGCGTCCATGTCGATAGAGACCGAAGTTGTGAGTAGCAGTACTACGCAGACAAAACCTATACAGACTATTTGGTACGAAACACCTCAGATCGGTGTTGTCTCAAGTAGATCACCCTCTCCAACAACCAGAAGGTCATACGAGTTGGGCGAATCAGCGGCAAGCAAACGCCGTGTAAAGTCGCCCTCTTACAAAATCGCACTGGCGGACCCGAGATTGAAAGAGTTTGTGGTAGAAATGCCGTCTGATCGTTGGAAAAGAAATAGAACTAATAATAATAATAATAATAATAATGCAAAAATACGATTTGAACAGAATGTAGCCAGGTATGAATGAGAACTGCGTTTATTATCTTTTTTTTTGCAATTGTTTAATTAATTCTTTTTTTTTGTTTGGAATTTATTTACCAGATATTATTATCAAATAATGGTCGGATGTGGACATAATGATTGCAATAACAAGTTTTGTCGTTCTTGTCCGTGTAAGATTATTTCAACTTCCTTATTAGTGTGATCCATTTCTTCTCATTGCCGTTAATATTGCTAACAATGTCTGTATAGGCTTAAAATTTGTTCGTATCTCAGTCAATGACTCACTCTCTCTGTATGTTGCAATATAGCCGCACCCAAGCCAAATGCGGATGCCTCCGCAACATTAGCCGTCTACCTTGCCTCTAGACCATACCAGATGTTTTGTCCAAATTGCCCTATCAACCCACACGTCTCATCGGCATCGATGATGTTTTCCTCACTTTCCTCGATGAATTATACTAGTCAAGATGGAAAACAAGCATCCAAATCGGTGAAGCCATTCTTCAATTCGCTGTTTTCTTCCTCCGAGTTTTCAAGCATGTTTGCGAATATATTTGGAGTACCTAAACAGCAAAATGGGGATATTGGAAAGCCTGAGGGTGTCATATCTGAGCAGGATTCAGAAGCTGTGGAAATCATCAAAAGCGACAATGACGACGAAGAGGCACAATTGAGTCTTAAAAAATTGACACTACCTTTATTAGAATGTGCAATAGAAACATATACCGAGCAGTCGCCTAATAATGCTGCGTTAGACATATCCTCATCTCTGCATAATGGTGATCCCAAGTTCCTGCTTAATACTATACGGACTGCGTTCTCATCACGTGAGATACTTAATGATAGTTTTCTTAAAACGTCTGCACAAAAGTCTTCACATCCATCAGGAATTGACTTGGTGTCACTTCGAAAAGCCTATGACCTTATATTTGAGTTAGAACCAAAAGCATTGTTTCGGTCGACCGTATTTGATGCCTTGGAAATTTTGCTCTCAAAAGTTTTGGTGGATCCAAAAGTTCTCGATCAGGAAGATGTGTCAATAAGATATCTACTAATTGTATTGGAGGCGTTGTTAGATTCATCCGATCGCGTTGTACCAATATCAATAGTTGCCAAAATGGTTAAAATATTGGCATACACGTGGGATAGAAAAGGATTAGCGTGTGACCTGATTATCAAATGGCTTTCGAGGTGAGTGACTGTTTGCGTGAAAGTGGAAGGATATATTGGCATTATGTCGCTGTTGCCGGGTTATCAGAGATTGCTGTCTTTAGTAGTTTAACGACTACCGGGTAGCCTCTCAATAATTAAACGAATACCAACCATTACAAAACTTTAATCGAGGTTAATTACTATATAAACAGTTATGACATAGACTCCTTCACGAATATACTGCTCGTCTTTCAAAGATTCCTTGGGGATCGATATCATCCGCCACCAGCCTTGTTATCAGAAGAAATAATGTGTGCTGCTAAAACGATCACAATGATATGTAAGTACAAAATAATTGTAAGGTTTCTCTAATGTTTCTGAATGCGAATGCAAAATGTCTACATTTTCTATAAATGCGTAAATTAGATAAGGCAAACGAAATTGCATCCCCCAAACCTATTGTATCGCACGTATTATTCTATAATGATTATTTAAGTGAAAAGATGAAGACAAAGGAAGAGTATAAGGTCTGGAAGAGAATTCACGGAAAGTAAGTACGATTGGCTTTGAGATACTTTATAGGTAGCATTCTTCTTATTAACTCCAATACAGTGCTGGGTCACGGCTGGCATCTTCAACAGTGTTTACATTTTTGGACTATCCAATACTACTTGATCCCGTTGTGAAATCACACATAATCAAGATCGATTCTATGTGTCAAATGGCTTTGGGGTATGAGGCAAGTACAAAGCACTCTTCTCTTGCAGAATAAGCTTAATTTTCATCTTGTGCTACACATAGGCACATCTTTTTTGTATATGCCTGAAGAGTATCCTGCTAACATTCAACGTTTTTCAGGATGCCTGCGTCCATCATGCTTTCTATATACAAACCCAGCGTCATCTACCAGAGCCTCCTCGTGATACCGAAACTCTCCAAGCGCGTACCATACCAGTTCTCTTCTTTGAGATTCGCCGTGAATTCCTTGTCCAAGATGCATTAGATCAAATAATCACAAAACAGCATGACCTAAAAAAACCTCTGAAAGTAAAGTTCGGAGCAGGCGAGGACGAAGCGCAAGATCAGGGTGGCGTTCAGAAGGAATTTTTCCAGATTTTGCTAGAGAGTCTAATAGATCCGAAATGGGGATTGTTTATATTTGACGAGCGAACAAGATGTCATTGGATTAACGGCGCGTCCGATGCTAGTGATAGGAAATTTGAACTAGTAGGAGTAGTACTCGGGTTAGTAGTATTTAATGGGATAATTGTGGATATCAATTTGCCAAAGGTGTTTTACAAAAAGTTGTTAGGTTGGGAGGTAACGTTTGATGACTTCAAGGATAGTTTTCCGGTGAGTAAAACCCGTTTTCAATCGCGCCGCGTATCAAGGATTGACAGAAATTGATAAACCAGTAAACAATTATATAGGAAATTGGCAAAGGCTTAGAACAAATGTTAGCGTGGTCAGAGGGTGATGTCTATGATGTCTACCTGCGTCATTTTGAGATTTCATACGAATATTACGGCACTGAACGGATGTATGAACTCGTTAAGAATGGTAACGCTATTCCTGTAACGAATGAAAACCGAGAAGAATACGTGCGCTTGTATTATCAGCATTATGTACATAAATATGTGGAACGACAATTCAATGCTTTCAAGAAGGGGTTTATGCGAATGTGCGATGGAATGATTACAAAGGTAATTAATTGTCATTATTGAGGATAAATACACAGTTATAAATGGCTAAAGAAATTCTTTTTCGCTAGTTACTGAGACCAGAAGAACTGGAATTATTATTATGCGGTAATCGAGACCTCAATCTGGATGACCTAAAAAACCACGTGAAATATGAAGGCGGATTTGATCCATCACATCCAACAATACGGTAAGTGACACTTTGTTGTACGTATGGGTAACAAACGTTTTCTGATAACTTAATCGAATGCACATTACATAATTTTACCTAGGAGCTTCTGGGATGTGTATTCAGAACTAACAGTATCCCAGAAACGTGATCTACTCGCTTTCGTTACTTCGAGTGATAGAATTCCAATTCGAGGTTTTAGTGACGTATCATTTACTATTCAGCGCAACGGTCCCGATTCAGACAAGTACGATGAATCCATATCATTCGTAATGAAATCAATTGCACCAGTGTTAGCTTTTTTTTGTCACGATTCGGTTACTAAACTTCATGTTACGTGATAGATTACCGACGGCGCGTACATGCTTTGGAATTCTCCTTCTACCGGACTACAAAACAAAGGATAAGCTTCGCAATAAGCTTCTAGTTGCTCTTGAGAACCGGCGAGGGTTTGGTATTGCCTAATTCAGGGAACAACGCTGGTTTAGAATGATATCGAAGAGTGTGTATTATTATTTGTAAAACAGATATTGTATATTCGTGATGCAAACTAAAACATATTTGACTCTAACAGTTTCACGTGACATAAAGTGGACGCATTACGTCGAGACAATATGGCAGTTGAGTATGTATGTGTAATGTATGGACCTGCGGTAATATTTGTTTATTCATTTACCTCTTCATTAAGACAGTTGATCGTGACGACTTCCGATAAGACCATCTGCCAACCTCTCACTCTGCGGGTTCCCTTTTCGTTGTATCGTTCGGTCCAGGCTTTAAAGATTAAAGTCTGGCTGACAGATAGCTACTTTTCAGGGAAAAACAAAGAAATTTCACCTAATATGACAGGTTGAAACTGCTGGTCATTTAGCCAATGAGGCAAAGCAATCATACAATACATTTCAGGAGTCCGAAGTCACAATAAGTTTCGGAGCATCTATTTCTATATCATTCACTCTTTAACAATAACTTGCTTACCCTACGCAATAAGTGTTAGCGAACAAAATTGAATAAGAAAGGTCTCAAGTGCCATGTATTCGTCCAAGAGAAATTTTTCTTGGTTGATAATAAACTATCATAATTGATTGAAAAGAACCAATGTGAAACTCTGTGATTGGAATTGCTTGTTGCTAAAACAGTCTCGACTACCGGGGGGTAATTGGCCCTGGATTTTAACGCTTTCGATCGCGCAACATTTATTAGCGACACTATTCTGGCTTTACCAATCCGGAGCTGCAGCTACTGAGGATAATTAATCCAGTATGCACTATAGTACAAGAATATTGAGCTCAAGGAAGGAATCCACACTATAGCTGAAAATGAAAATGTGCATTCAGCTGGTGAAATATCTCTATTAAATATATGTATATATACCTTTCGTTAGACATATAGTACAGCTGCGTTTTACACAATTGCATCCATTAGTTCTTTAATCCAAATGCGCCGGCTGGTAATTACCACAAGCGCAGATAATATCTGCGGATCACTCAGAAGCCATCTACTTAAACAACTGTAGCGGTCCACCGTAGCTGTGCCAAATAAAGGATCTATTATTCAGTTTTCTATTACTACGACGCGTCCTAAGCCCGGATAATATTTGGAAAATCGGGATCACTCAGGAGCCATCAACTAACAGCTGTAGCGGTCCACCATAGCTGTGCCAATAAAGGACCCACTAAATCAGGAGCAACTATTCAATTTTCTACTACGACCGTCATATTAATATAAGCACGCCCCAACGAATAGGACTCTCACGTCCAGTAAGTTCTGTTTGTGCATTGTTTTCGCCGAAACCATACATGACTGTGAGAGCCACGTTCTTCGATAGGAATATAAACCCGTCCAAGGCCTTTCAAGCGCTTCCGCTATTTCCATTGACTAATCAACATTGGCTTACGAGTTACTGTAAACTTGGCCTTTTGCGTGTACTTTCCGCAAAGTTTTGTTAGAATGCAGGTCAATTTATTATGTTCTTACTTTATACACGTTAAAAGGTTTCTTTAAAGGTTGCAAACGTCACAATTGCGGGCATAACTGATTCCTATTTTTACTGCTCCTAATAACTGCGTAAACTTCGATTTTTGGGAAATGATAGAATGTAACGATTGAGTATTGGTGACAAAATATTTATTGGTGATCGAATCTTTAACTCACACGTGAACCAAATTTTTGTTAATGGATTCGGTATCTTGTTGAATATCGAGAATACAAGCGAAAGGCGTTATCGGGCTTTCGGTACTTGATTTATTCTGTGACCATTTAAGTTATAAATATTATTAGATTTCTAGATACGTGAATTAATTATGGTAATAAATTCTGGTTTCAATGATGCTCCTCCGACAAGGAATCCATCTACGTCTGCTTCTTTAGCTGTCAAATTATATACGTTAGCATTGTAAACAATTGTAAACAAAAAATCCGATTAATATGCGACTTACCCAGATCGGTGGCATTCCCTGCATTGACAGAACCTGCATAGGAGAACATTCAGTCAATTACTAATAATAACCACAGATTACAAAATACAAATTCGCTCAATACCTCCGTAAATAATTCGCGTGCTTTCAGCGACTTCGGGGGAGACAAGATCTTTGAGCAAACCACGGATGAATACATGTACTTCTTGAGCCTATTAGAATTTTGCACAAACAGGTCAGTCAACATGATCAATGTCATATTTAATAAGAGTTGTATTCAGATACCTGTTGCGGCGTGGCCACTTTTCCGGTTCCAATCGCCCAAACTGGTTCATAAGCAATCACAACATTTGACCAGTCATTGATATTACCGACAAGGGCTTTAAGTTGACGGGTAACTACATTAAACGTGTCTCCTGCCTCACGCTCCGAGAGTTTCTCGCCAATACAAGCAATAACTTTGACTCCAACTTTAAGAGCATGAGCCACTTTGGAAGCAACAAACTGGGAATGACAGGTTCCGGTTAATCACATGAAACGTTCGTGACAGAATGTTTGCCAATGAAGAAAACAACGGATCAATACTTCATCGCTTTCTTTAAATATTTCACGTCTCTCCGAATGGCCTAGTATAACCCATTCGATTCCGAGGTCTTTCAACATTTCCGGGCTGTCGGAAATAATTGAAATGGTTGAGAATACACGTAGTTTCATTTACCGACCTTCTGAACTTTGTGATTTATTACCTAATTTCTCCAGTAAACGCTCCACTAGAGACATTATATGCATTCTGAGCAGCAACACTGATATGTTTGTTCACAGACTGACGTACTCTATCAAGATAAACCGAAGGAGGTGCTATTACAACCTCTTTAGGAGAGAGAGACGAAGAGGTTAGAAAACATGTGTGAAACGCAAGGTATTCGATCGATCATTTTCGTCTCCGATTCCAGCCACTAACCGACATTTTCATCAAACTGTTCCTTGTTGAGAGAATCAACAAGAGTCTTGAGAAAGACCGCAGAGCCATTCATTTTGAAGTTACCTATGTCAATGATGACTCACATTACAACATGATAGATGACGAGGTGATTTGACATTATATTGAGAGAAACATTTGCTCATACCACCAACAAAAAATTTTCTCATGTTGACTTCTTCTTCACCTATTATAATTAAAGCAAATCGGACTAATCAAACTTATGATATTGTCGAACCGACGAAAGAAAGCTTTTGCTATCGTTCTAGATACTTCCTGGTAGAAGAGACAAACGAAATTACTATTAAAATTAACTTACTAGAACTTGGTCAAGTTTTCCAGAGAAATGATCTGATATTATGTTATCAAATAGTCTTTCTCGACAATTCATTTGTAACACAAATAATTTTCGATTGGGTTTCCGATATCACCTGACAGTAGAGTATGACGACAAGAATTTCCAAAATTGTCACCGAAAACAAATATGGCACATATTTTTTATTAGAACTTTAAAATTGTTTTCTCTTATTTTCAACTCTTTCTCTGGCATCCCGATAACTTCGGTTTAGTTGTGAATTCTCTTTATAACCTTTAGGTATTGACTAGAATTGACGCGAATTGATCGAGATATTCTGTAATATGTGTTTCTAATGGACACAAGAAAGTCAACGAGTTAATGAATACACAGTAAAGTCCACTTTAACAAAGGTCTCCGTGCCGCCAAAAAAAACTTGGACTTCTATTTTATAACAAAATAAGTTTACGTGTGAGACTTCTTCTACAATACTTTTCTCAACAGTATGTTTACGCAGTCACTTTAACTATAATCGAATGTCAACATTTAGACTTGCTTTTTGTCTTCTTCATAACAATTGTAAAGTTTTGTTTTTTTTTTTACACTTTTTTAAAGGTTCTATGTCTAACGATGGAAAAACTTGTTCCTCACAATTGAATGGGGCAAAGAACAGCTTTATTACATAAATTGAGTATGTTGTTCAAATCCTACAATGGTATGACGAACTTCATTATTTGCCAACATTCGGTATAGAAAATTTTTATTCAACTGACTGGTTATTTTTTTCTCTACGGTTGTCGTTGTAATAATTGTATTGACGACACAATTGCAATCAGCAACTAAATTTGGTGTATAAAAAGAGTGACTTTCAGGAGGTTCAGATACTTTCAATTCCCTTATTATTATAAAAGTGACAATAAGTATTGTTGCTAAACGAGTAGCTCTTTATACTTTAAAATACTTTATTAATAAATTATTCCCTGGTAAATTGTTCGATATAGTCGTGAACTACTAATTACTATACCGATTGGGATATTGGCGTCTTGTCCAGTGGACGTTTCGTAGCATTGTTATTCGCTTAAGATGACGTTTGACTAGATACGTGTATACTTTAACCGAAGATTATAACGAGCGACACGTCGTGAATAGTTTTACGGCTCGTTAACTGTCGTCGTATTTAACATCTCTGCTCAAAATTACTGTAGCTAAATTCCAAGGTCAGCGATCGATCTCTCTCTCACGAGTGTTGCCTCGACAAAGAAATTCTTAAGCATGTCAAATTTTATGAGGAAAAAAAAACTTTAATTTTCACCTACAGAAACAGGTTTTAAATCTTCCTCTAAAATTTCTATTTTTGGAAACAAAGACAATCCGAGTTTAGAAAATAGGAGACAGACATAACTTTAGTCAACCAGACTGATTGACTTAAAAGAACGGGACAACGTTCTGAACCCTGAAACCTTTCTGTGGTGTTATGTTCCCTTTGTCGCAGCACGCCCGAATGAGGATTCTGTGTAACAATGCCCGTTATATCCTTTGGTGCCCAAACCAGAATTCTTAAGCAGTCTCAAATAAGGCTTTATTCAACATACACCCAAGTCTCAAAACCATGTCTACTGATTCAACTGAAGTTATTGATCAGCAAGCTGTAGAAGGCACTTCTGGCCCAACGAATGACCAAACGTTCCGTCGCAATGGACGACGTGGAAAAGGAGGCCACCGAGGAAGACAGCCTCAGCGTGCGAATGGCCGAGGCAATAGAGAGTTGGAGAGCGAAAACTCTGCAAGATTGGATCAAGCTCCTGCGGAACCAGCTAACGAACCAAGGCCCAAATCCAAGGGTAATGAGAATGAAGGCAGCGAAGGTGAAAAGAAAGAGAATGCAAACGAATGCCATATTTGTGCTGAAAGAATTGTCTACTATGCTGTGGGAGAATGTAATCATAGAACTTGTCATATCTGTTCTGTGAGATTGAGGGCGTTATACAAGTCCTGGACTTGTACTTTCTGTAAGGTTAGCTTATAAATTTAGGGATAGTGGGAAAGTGCGGATGGAATTTCGTGGTTGTCAACATTATCTGTGAAGAGATCTGGAATGATACTTGAATGCATTGCTCACTTTAATTGTGTGCAAGACAAGGACTTAATGTGACGTTTATCAAAGCACGCGAATGTTTCCTTAACTCTTTGAACTAACTCTTGGTTGCTTTGTCAATTATAGGTTGAACAGCAAGCTGTAATCATCACCAGCGATCCGGAAAAGCCGTATCAGGATTACAAATTTGCAGATTTGCCATATACCGATCATAAACTGAAATTATCTTTTGAAAATAAGGAAATGTATGATGAAACCGAAAAGTTACTCAGATTCAATTGCCCTTCACCCAATTGCGACGCTGAATGCTGCGACGGCTGGCAGGCATTAAAAAAGCACGTCAAGAAAGTACACAATATGTCGATGTGGTAAATATCTATGTACGGAATATCCGTATTACATGCATCAGGTTTATTGCTAGTTCGAATTGTTACATTTGTTTCTTGATATTTATTGACGTTTTCTATATTGCAGCGATATATGTGTTAGCAACAAAAAAGCCTTTGCTCATGAACACACTCTCTATACTACTCGCCAGCTTGAGAGACATTGTAGAGTTGGCGACCAAAATGTAGTATCTGGGTTTAAAGGACATCCCAAATGCGAGTTTTGTGAAATAGCATTTTACGACAGCGATCAATTATATGTGCACTGCAGAGATCGTCATGAAGAATGTCATATATGCGTGAGGAATGGAATCAGACATGCGTACTATGAGAATTATGATTTGCTAGTACGTATGAACAGATGTAGAATTTTTGACGCCAATAACATATATGCTTATTAAGATTTACACATATAGGAACAACATTACAAGAAAGAACACTATTTATGTCTGGACAAAGAATGCTTGGCTCGAAAATTTGTTGTGTTTGCAACAGATATTGATTTAAAAGCGCACGAAGTATGATTTAATATGGTTCGCATTGTTAATGCGTCTCCAAATAGACACAATAACAAATCATAATATATTTTTATATTATCAGATAGACGTACATGGATCGAGCATCAGTGGGCAGAAAGCTAAATTTGAATCACGGCGAATAGAAATAAATTACATATATGATGATCAACTTGCTCGAGCGAGGGGTCGACATAGGGATCGAGAAAGACAACAGGTAGGCACTGTTTGTGAGATATATGTTTATACAAAATCCGGCGTTACCTGATTTCTACTTTCTAGGCTCGTCAGGAAGATGGGGGAGGAGGGGGAGGAGGAATAATCCAGTTAGATGGCCCTTCCAGACAGACCAGAAACCTAGAAATCAACCACGCAAGAGCAGGAAACGCGCTGAGAAGCATCACCCCTGATGGTATAAGCAACCCGATAGACGAACTTTCACCGCCGCCTGCTCGTCCTAATCAACCTATTCAAGTACGGGAAGAAGAATTTCCTACTCTCAGCTCGGTTGTCCGACCATCCGGCACTGGAAACGCGAACGCGAATATTAATTCTGGCGTAAAAGCACAGACTACCAGTAAAGTAAATTCTACTAATATCGGTAAAGGCAAGCGAAGCGGCATTAATGGGCAAGACAGAAGTAATGAACAAGGTGGAAGCAGTGAACAGGGGGCACCATTGCCCAACAATACGGGATCGTCATCGAGAGTCTCATTAGAGTCGAGTGCAAAACGTCAAGAGACTTCTTCAAACTCTGTATCCGCGAAAAAGAAAGGGAAAGGGAAGGCACCAGTTCAACCATTAGAAGATTTCCCATCTCTTCCATCGATTCCAAAACAAAAGTCGCGAGGTTCGAAAATCAATAACGCTAACGGTGCCTGGGGGCAGGGAGGAATGTCTGGAAATGTAAATGATACTAGAAATAATGAGCCGTCGGAGAGCAATATCAAAAAGAAACCGAATAAGAAAGTTGTATTGTTTCGTCTTGGTTAAATATGATATTATTTGATTTATCCTTTTGGTTAACTTAATCTTGTAATTAATGCTTTTTGCACATAATATTCTGATTCCAATTATTTATTGATTGTAATATTATAGTAGAACAATTAGAATAAAAGCATATGTAATACAAAAACTTGAGTAGTAAATAGGATACAAATATCCAACGCATACAGTTCGCTTAGTGTTAGCAATTGTAGTATTTATTGCTAAAACAAAACAATATTAATATTAAATGCTTAATATTACTGTATTAATGTTTACAATAAATAAACAATAATGTGTGAATTCCCAACACAGCTTTTTATACAAGTTCCCAACTGATGTTCAATTTGACCAATTTTAGTTAGGAATTAAACATAATTCTAAATTTAGACTAACTTGATAGTGATAAGCCGACAGCAATGGGGGAAAACTCCCCAGCCAAACTATGCGATTTTGTATGTTGGATGTAAAGTTTTCCTGAACAGCATTCAATCAATTAGCGTAAACAGTCATTATTTACATTCATATGACAAAGACCGTTATTGCTATACAAAACTTCACGTAAAAGAAATTGGCTAATCAATGGGGCTGGGAAATAACTGTAATAACCGCAATAAGCAATGAAACAAAGTTTGTGCATTAAAGTGTCTCTAAATCAATACGGCTTTTTTATTTGTCATCTTATGGATCCCGTTTTGGCATCATGAGAAAGCCAGATAAAGATTATCACTATCTTTATTTCACCAACCAAACGGGGTTGTGCAATATTCACAGGCACAAAGTGATTATTTTTTTTTAAAGCACAAGACTAGTAATGGCAGTTACTGGGAACTTTATCTAAACCTATAAGTATTGAATTATTAATTATAATCAAACGCAACCTCGCATTCTCGTAACATTTGAAAATGTCAGCAGATTCCTGCTGTAGACATGGCTACGCAGTTCCATCGGAGAACCCTCGTCTTATTCGCGACATTGCTATTTCCAGACTGAGTAACTTCACAAGTAATGGAAAGTTCAGCGACGTAAACTTATCTTCGCAATTATATAAGCACAAATCAAAGAAAGGGTATCTTGTAAAGTTACAAGTCTATTCGGTACCCAACTTGAAGAGAATCCCATTTAAAGAGGCTATTAAAGGTGATTTTAGAACTACCAAAGTGGGAGAGAACTTTGGACCCAGTTGGGTGAGTAGTCAATTTCGAGGGTAGTGTGGTGTCGTTAATAATTGGCTATAAAATTAATTACAATCCCCACAAGTACAAGTACTGCTACCATTGCGAACTTTGGATATGAATATGTGTATCACGTGGAATTAACGCACGATTTGTAATTTTTGTCAGTCAACGCATTGGTTTCATGTTACTGTTCACGTGCCAACCGATTGGGTCGATGAAGAGGTGCAATTTCTGTGGGATTCAGATTCTGAAGCATTGGTATGGAGTGTGGACGGTGTTCCTCTTCAAGGGCTGACGGGGGGAGGTGAGTACGGATGCTGCAAATTACAAACGTTTGGTTTTCAAAACTCTGTTAACTTAATTCCTATCCATCTGACGACTAAAAGACGGGAATGATCGACGACACGAATACATTCTTACGCATTCATCCAAAGGCGGTGATATTTTCGAGTTTTACATTGAGATGGCCTGTAACGGAATGTTTGGTGTCGGCAAAGGCGACGACTCGATCAACCCACCCGATCCAAACAGAACATTTACACTCCGTAAAGCCAAACTTGTCGTGCCAAATAAACTCGCATGGAAATTGCTATATGATTTTCAGATAATCAAAAACGCTGCTGAGAATCTACGGCAGGATGAAGGTAGATCCGTGCAGGCTTTATATACGGCGAATGCGATCATAGATATTTTTAGAGCTGGTAGAAATGGAAGTTTGGCCGAGGGACACAGACTCGCTCGGGAATTTTTTGAACAAAAGAATGGAGGAGCGCAACATCGGTTGACTGCTGTCGGGCATTGTCATATCGATACCGCGTGGCTCTGGTATGTGATGCGGGACAAAGGAGGGTCAAAAGCTGTATAGTACTTGAGCTTGTTTTTGTAACCAAAAATCAATTGATCATGAATATCAACAAAACGATTAGGCCGTTCGATGAGACAAAGCGTAAAGTTGCTCGTAGTTGGTCAACGCAGATACGTCTTATGGAGTCATACCCCGAGTATAAATTCGTATGCTCGCAAGCACAGCAATTCGAATGGCTCAAACAAGATTATCCGAAACTCTTTGAAAAAGTTCAGGAGAAAGCAGCCACTAACCAATTCTTACCTATTGGTGCGGTGAGTTTGAGTGTGATTCAGTACTTGCACATACGCAATCATATTGCTTATACACGATATCATTATTTGATAGACTTGGGTTGAAATGGATTGTAACATTCCGAGTGGAGAATCGCTTTGTCGGCAGTTTTTATTTGGGTAAGTTGGTATGTTTGTCGAACGTTACTGGAACTATAGGAGCGAATTATTGTTTAAAACTTTTTTTCTCATATACGATAGTCAACGCTTTTTTGAAAAAAACTTTGGCAAACGTTGTAAAGTGTTTTGGCTTCCTGATACTTTTGGATACTCTGCTCAATTGCCACAAATCATTAAACTTGCCGATTGCAAGTATTTCTTTACCCAGAAATTATCATGGAATAATATCAATAAGGTAATGAACGTGTAGCATATTCTAATTCAGTGGGAATTGGTGACAAGTACGACACGTCTTAATACGATTTTTTAATATCGGTTAGTTTCCAAACACGACCTTTTATTGGGTTGGCTTAGATGGTAGTCAAGTAAGTGGTTGATTTTGAACACAAAATAACGTAAAATGGTAATTTACATTTATGAGTAACAAGTAACAAATAATATCCGTAGGTTTTAACGCATATGTGCCCGAGTGAGACGTAAGTATAAAAAGATCGTGACTCTCTCTCTCTTGGAAGTGCTCTAACTGAAACGCTCTTACAGATACGTAGCCCAATGTACAGTCGACGAACTGGTTAGAAGCGTTCGTAACCATCGAGATTTGGGATACAGTAACGAGAGTTTACTTGTATTTGGAAATGGTGACGGTGGGGGAGGACCGAATGCTGCTATGCTTGAGAGATTGCGACGATTAAAAGATATTGTAGGTTGTGTAAACGGTTGATATGGCTTTTTCTTGCTGGAAATAATACTCGATTCCACGTTTTCTGTAGGATGGTGTGCCGAGAGTCGAGATGGGATCGGCGGATGAGTTTTATGAACGCGTCGAGAGAGAGTCAAAAAAATTAAATGTTTGGAAAGGAGAATTGGTAAGTAAAATTTGTGTTGGTTTGCACAACATACAGATACTGATTTGACACCTTGTTTACATAATGGTGGCCATGGTATGTAGTACTTTGAGTTACATCGCGGAACATATACTTCCCATGGTCTAATTAAGCGTTATAATCGTAAATGCGAGCTTCTTTTACGTGATGTTGAGTTATTGACCACTTTAACCTATTTTATGGAGCATACGCTATACAGGTACCGGCTCGTCATATTTATTAGTTGAATCTTTTATTTTTTATTTTTAATCTTTTGATTATTAAACAGATATCCAAAGGATCAAATACACGATGCATGGAAAATATTGTTATTGTATGGGACTGTTTGCATATTTGTAATGCTTAGTTTCTTATATCGGTTGATTAGTGATAATAATCATTACGTGTTGTAGAACTCAATTTCACGACGTTCTACCAGGGTCGTCTATTGGAATGGTTTATGATGACGCTTACCGGGTAAGATTTATTCCCTGATATATGCGTTCTTTTTCTTCACAATTTACCTAAAAAAAGCCAAATTTGTTTTCATCTAGATGCTTGAAGCAGTCGTAAAAACATGTATGCTCTCTTTTTTTTTTAATCACAACACCTTTAGCATAAGTTTATTAAATATTTTGTATAAAACAGGTGAGGATCTTCGAAACCAAGCCCTTGATGCTCTATTTAAAACGCCCCTCCTGGAAGAAACTCGTGAGAAAGGACTTGCTATATTCAACACGCTTCCGTGGAAGCGAACAGAGGTTGTGAAAGTGCCAGTAACTGAAGGTTTGGACGTATTGGAACAATATTCTGCTGATAAGGCCTCGGGATATGTACTTGGTAAGTGGAAAAGACAATAATTTTGACATGCAAAATGGGTTCTGCTAATATTATGAATCCTTATTACATGTATCACCAGTGAGAGACACGGTTAGTGTCGGATTACAAAAAGTTGAAACTCGGCGACATGATGATATTAAGCCCGTCACAGGTTCGGTTGTCTGTAACCTATCTAACTAATGCTTTCTTCTGGAGTTATTTCTAAAAGATATGTTATTCAAATTGTCTAGTAAGATTTGATAAACACCGTGGATTCATTCTTGAGAATGCATTTGTGAAAGCCATATTTGACAGACACGGGAGACTTATCAGTTTGGTTGACTTGAAGAAAAGGTTTGTGCATGTCTTGCCACCTATTGCTCCAATCCCTTATTGACTTTTTCTGTTTTGCTTTACAGTCGGGAGATCGTTCCTGACAACGCACAGGGAAATAAATTTATTATCTATGAAGATATTGTGAGTTTTTTATATTAATATTTTATTCGCTTTGGATTCTGAACAAAATAAACTGACTAAAATTGATTCACTTACAATTGGATAGCCATTGTATTGGGATGGTAAGATTACATGATATTCATGATTTATTAAATAAGTAAGTACACTAATAATATCCCTATATTTTATTTTTTTTCCCTAGCTTGGGATGGTAAGTTGATCAACTTGAATAGTTTCGTTCACTCAAGACAACCCTATAGACATAACATGTGATGTCATATATAGTGGAGATATATCACCTTGGGACAGGACGTGAAGCAAACCTTGGAACAATTAAGGTATGTTTGTACCCAATAACCAAGAATATTTTTATTTTTTAATTGAATTTACCTATGCCAACAGATACATGAAGATGGACCTTTACGCGTAGCTCTTCTTCTCAAAACCAAACTCACAAAGACCAGCACCTTGTCTCAAGTTATTGCTCTCTCTGCCGTTTCAAGTAGGCTTGATTTTGAAACTGAAGTTGATTGGAATGAAAATCGAAAATTCTTGGTCAGTAATAATATGCTTATGTGAAATGCGAGAGCTTATGCTCGGAACTATTGACAAATATATTATTCGAAATACTTAGAAAGTTGAATTTCCTGTGGATATTATGTGCGACTATGTAAGTCTTGCCCTAAATTTCGTTATTGTATATTTTTACCATTAAATCATACTCTTATTATATTTCCTCATCAATATAGGCCACGTATGAGTCCCAATTTGGTTACATCCAGCGGCCGACTCATTACAACACTACGTGGGACGCTGCAAAGTTTGAAGTTTGCGGACATAAATTTGCCGACTTGTCAGAATATGGATATGGTGTTGCCCTCTTGAACGACTGTAAATACGGTCAGTAATGATGCACGCAGTTGGCTGTCTTTAGGTGCTTGTTACAAAATGTCTAACGTTACTTTGATTCAAACAGGTTATGCAATTCATCAAAATGTAATAAGATTGTCGCTGTTAAGATCTCCAAAGGTAAAAGGTTAATTCATTAGTAATGCCTGGAGTATGTCATGACAGTGCATTAATGTTGGCCTCTCATAGGCACCTGATGACCAATGTGATATAGGGCATCATACGTTCAGATATGGTCTCTTACCTCATCAAGGGTCTTTCCTTGAATCAAACGTCATACGCGAAGCATTTGAATTCAACGTGCCACTAAATATCAGGTATACGACTGATTGCAATTTTATAGATGCTTTTACAAAGGATAAACATTTTCTTTCTGGCTATGCAGGACGTTACCAAAGAATGTGACAAACATCATGGAATCCTTTTCATATTTCACAATTGATGCTCCAAACGTCATCCTGGAAACTATTAAGAAAGCCGAGGATTCTGATGATGTGGTATTGAGATTATATGAGGCGTACGGTGGCCATGCCAGAGTTAATCTAAAGAGGTAAAGAGATTGATTGATATGTAATAATTATGTTCTGACCCGTAGCGAAATTCAGAATCGGGTCGAAATAAGCACATTTTGTTTCGCTATTATCACATAAACAAAGTTGAATAGATGTCGCTTATTGGTTGTGATATTAGATAATGTGCGTATTTCGAAACGGGCTGGATTGCGCTACGGGCCAGAACGATTATAAAACTTTCCTTAATTTACTAATCTTTGTCGTTATTTTCAAGCGCTTTACCGATACGCACTGTTTACATGGTGAACATATTGGAAGACAATCTTGTGAAATATGATTATAATCAGGACGATGGAATCCAATTGAAGTTTGGTCCATTCCAAGTGATCACTTTAAAACTAACAATGAGGTGAGAAATCAGAAACTCACTTTGTTGTGCTTTATTTAAGAAATGTAAGCGAAAAATATGATAGCAGATTCTATATGATGAGGGCAAGAGGCTTTAGGGCTTTTATGGAAATTTCGCTAAAACCTGAATTTCCATTTTTCAGCATCAACAAAGATAACGGCTGGACTCTTCTGTGACTTTAATAGTTTTCAGGATTTTTCGGTATAATATCAAGCAGATCGATATTTGTAATGAATTGTTACTTTCGAGTAATCCATACAACGAATGAATATTAATATTAATATGGGAAGGAAGGGATAAATCATACACATTGCACAAGATGAATCAATATTATATTTGCTTGAACTGTATAATGTTTTAATGACAAACGTAGCCAATAGTTTTAATTAAAAGTAAATGATTGATATAATAATAGCTTTGCATTTAGCTTTATGGGAATATTCTCGCTAGTCGCTTTCAGGGCGTCTTCCATTTGAGGCAAGATGATTAATCTAGACCTGGCACTAAATCTAAATCACAGAGCCAATCAGAATTGATATTATTATTTTTCGACCCAAATTGGACCACCCCTTGCCTTTTTAGCGAATATTAATCAAGGCCCTGCAATGTTAAATATATGCTTTATTATTTTGCGTGCTACAAATGATACAAAGAAGCGGGTCTAATAAACGTTATTAGTCATACAAATTAGCATAGTATGTTTCACTCTGGCCGCATGATTTGGGCAAAGAATCCCATCGAAGATTTATACAGAAAATTCAGCCTTACGATTCGTTCACAGTCGTCGTAGCGGTCTCTGCTTTCGAAATCGCATCTCTCTCCTTTTTCTTCCTTCTTGCATCCCACCATGCAAAGTATCCACCAAAAGTACTGAACCCGAAAGCGAAAACGACGCAAAAGGAAAAGAACTCGGCTGCTTTAGGTGCAGAACATCTATTTTCCTCATCCTTGGCATAGTCAGTGCACTTTTCAAAAGCTGGCGTATGTACAGCTCCGAGAGCGGTATACGTAATATACGCCACAAGAAAGATATTCGAAAGAAGTCCCTGGATTAACGCGAATTTGGTTGATCGATCGAAAAACAAGACCAATGCGGATACCACAGTACTGACGGAAGAGAGAACCAGTCCGTATATGACCCAGTTGGGAATGCCTTCTCCCAGTTTTTTCGACTCTGCGGCTGTTACTCCAAGAGTGATTAGCACGACCAGTCCGCATACTATTTCAAATAGGCGTACGGATAAAACAAACTTTGGCGTGGGCTTGTACGGAGCGAGTTCGACACGAGCCGGAGCGGCGGGTACTGTCAATTTTTCTTCGGCCATTTCTAGTCAAGAAAAATGGGTTATTATTGGTTCGTTCGGTTTCTTTTTTCGTGGAAATAAAATTGTGTCGTAACAAACGAAAAGCTTATATTCTTTTCGTTTGATTATCTTGAGACGAATGATTGGGCGTTTATATATATGCTCTTCCCCCAGTTTTAGGGCCAAAATTTCAATCGGGTACCCACGCTAAAGACCCCCATTATGCCGTGGATCGTGTTTTTTGCTTTGATAACGTGATCAGATGTCGGGTTATACTATTAATGCGCCTTATCGAGTATATACATGCGTTATAGTGGAATCGCACCCATTCCTTCGATTTGCATAATATGTCGTAAACTACGTTTCTGATTTCCCAGTGCTGTCGAATTGAATCGGTGTATTCCGAATGCCCAACTTTTAGGCGCGTCCAAGTATTGATAGGTTTATCGCCATCTTCAAGTACAAAATTCGCCCAAGTGAAACAATCCATTCTTGTAACAGTCAGAGAATTTCGCTACCAGAGATGCAACAGAATGCTTCATATTCTATGTTAAACGTTGCGAGTTGACGATTTGAACAACATTACGACTACTAGTCATTTCATCCTGCTTGTTTCCATGGTTTGTACAAACGGAACAAAGGTTCTTTATGTAGAACTTTCACCATCGGTGTAGGGTTCTCTTCAGGCACTTTTTGAACCCTTGAAAATTATCTGTGACATCCCTATTATCAATTGTAACACATTTCACTACTCGTAAAATTCTTGGCGTGCCCAAATAGTCAACTTTCGTTAATCACAAGACCTCTAATGCATGATTTGCAAACAAAAAAAAAGTACTTATTATATAACAAATCGACATATATGTATGCTGAACGTTTTCTGTACAATATTTTCCGGATAAATAATTTGTCATCCTGAATGATGACATTTTTGCGCATGCTTGTACCTAAAAAGAAGCGGGGGGTGGAGGGGAGGGAAATGTTGGAATGATTTTGTAAATAAATACATCACATATCGGTTATAACAATAAAGATAAATAACTTTGACCAAGTATATTAACATCGCATATTACGGTAAGCTTTCTTTTTCACTTACCAATAGATTTCTGGGACTAATACTTCTTTATCCCGTGGAGATTGGTTCAGTATCCACTTCCCACACTTGTGGCAGAGCGCCTCTCGTAAGCCGGATTTTTTATTGTTGCGTTCCGATACCGGCCCAGCAAATGGTCGTCCGGTAATCGAGGAAATGCCATGTTGATAATTTAGATGATACCTGTTGAAAGGGGAAAACGTCAAACAGAGTTACACCACCTTACATAATACATCTAAACATACATAATATGTCAATAATGGAAGGAAAATATAATAACAATCAAAATAATCCCCTATTTCTCATATTAATGTTATGGTCCATCAATTAACCTAAACGTGAACATGCGCTGTCTGATGCATGATTGTTTCCCATGCTCGCCACCTCGATCGATCAAATTATATACTCACCAGTATGCAGATATTTTCGTCTTATACCATCGTGGAGGATTACAATGTGGACATAATCCTTCCTTAGACTTCCCCACACCACGCACCCATCTCGGAGTATACCTGAATGATATTGGTTCGACAAACCAAACAAATTATCAATTAAATCAACAATAACAATGATGCGTAAACGCTCAATTCGAATGATCAGCACTATGTTTTGTTTACTCACATATCGCTTTCAAACCTGGGAGGTTGTTTAGACGCCTCGGGATCCGGAATTACTTCCCGTACATCTTTTTCTTCTTTATGTTTCTTTGTCACCGAATCATTGTCACCGTTATCGCATTTACGTTTTTTCGACGATTCAACATTCGGGACTGACTCGTTATAGTTTCTACATTTCGGATATTTTTCAAGCAAGGAAAGCAAGCTGTTTTCGAAACCATCTTGCTGACACCCACTGCTTTCCTCTTTCCATTCTTTTATCTCCTCTGCGTTTGTTTTTTCCTCCATGTCTGCTCTATTCCAAGACATTTCCTTTTTGTTTGTTAGCTCCAGGAATAAATCTACTACATTTTCTTCCGATATATCTATCTCTTCCAACGTTTCCATATAATTAAGCCGTCGAAGGATTTTTAAGACTGGCTTTTGCCTTTTCAGCTCGATTAACGCTATTTTTATGTCTCGTAGGGTCGCCGTCAAACGCCTGTTTTCTGAATTTAGGACGGAATGGCGTGAGAGTTGAACCGAGTGCGAATGCGATAGTTGGGTTAAGGATGCGGTTAATGCGGAGAGCAGCGTGGATTGTTCTCGAGAGTTTCGGTTGTGGTCCGTGTGCGTCGGCAAAGTTGTATCTAAAAATCATAGAGTTAATGTATTAGTAAATGAGTTTGGGACCTTTTTTTTTTTAAAAAAAAACAACCTGAAAATCGTATATAAATACACACATACACATAATACAGACATATACAATATACACACATACACATATACACACACTTGTATATGCACACACACCTTCGTTCAAAATCTTTGCCAAACTCCTGTTATTTACGGACAACTTTGGGAGGCTCTGTGCAGTAGAATACGAGTCGTAACCTCCACCCAAGAGTTCTGTTTGGGGGGGTAAACTATTTGCAAACATTGTTGCCTAGTAAGAAAAGACAAAGTCAGTGACAAGAAGTGTGTGTTCGACGAGTGTATGCGAGATAAGGCGCGTAAGAGGAAAGAGAAAGAAATAGGACAAATGATTTAAAGGAATGGGTGTAATATAAGAGTGGAAAGTGAAGAAAAAATTTTCATACATTCTCCAGTATCTCTGCCGCTTGTATCAATAGATACAACCCATTCGTATTCGTGGACTCCATTTGTTGGGTATTTTTTAATGATGGTTTTGGTATCAGTGCTCGATAATCCTAAGTTGTGTTATAAAGTTAGTTTTATATATGCAGTTTCAGTTTATATATTTGATCATCCTACTATTGTTTGTATGCTTCTGAATTCTACTTCGAATTTACCAATAAGCCCATACTCAACTGCATAATTATCAACACTTTTACTTATTCGCGGGTAATCTAATTGTAGTTGTATGCAAATATAAATTATTATCATAACAAAACGGAAGAAATGATTATCGCCTAAATATAGGGATCAGTGGATAGCTGGGGGGGTTGTGCTCTTACGGGTACTTTGAGTAAATTTACGGCAATAAACACATTGATTGTTGAATGGTGAAGGGAGTGTCTGGCAAACGGGACATTGATCGATTTGATGCTATTTAGAGAAGAGGATGTGAAATGAAATCGTGAGAGTGAGTAAATAAAGTGATGAATAGGGAGATTAAGAAACAACTGGAGATTTATAACAGTGATAATAAAAGCTGATAATGTATATAAACAATGTATTGGATCGGTTTAGTCGTACAAGAGCTGTCTAGCAGATCAATTACCACGCTATTAAAACATGAAAAACAAAAAACAAAATAGTCGTAGTCCAAATACGCAATATAATATAATATGAAACTTACGATGTAGGTAGACTGAGCGTTCATTTTTCTTTTTTCTGGAGAGTGAAAAGTATAAAGTAAGAGAGCATTTCAACGACAAAGTAGGTGAGAGATAAGGAACGACTAGAGTATGAGATTAGGTTTTAATATTGCTATCTAAATGCAGAATACAATTGAAAAATTTTAGCCAAAAAAAATTCTATGATGTATCACAACGAATAGATATAATATTACGCACTATATATACTATTGTATTGCCCTCCTGTTGCCTACTATTGCCCTACTGTTGCCCTACTGTTGCCCTACTATTGCCCTACTATTGCCCTACTGTTGCCCTACTATTGCCCTACTACTACTATTGCACTACACAGAGTTTATCCAATGTTCCGATAATCATACAAAGTACCTTGAAAGCAGAGAGCGTAGATATAGTGTTATATTCAGAGTTTTGTTGTTGTTTTTTCAGTGAGAATAGTAGGGGGGTTTTTTCGAGTCGAGAGAATATCCGGTCAAGACGTGTGAATTGACAATATTAGGGTAACGAAGTGTGAAAGGCGGTATTTAAGAGCTTATGCTATTGTATGATATATGCAACTCTTAGTTATTACGACAATGGCGGGGGGCTAAATAATAATATCAATGTGACAACTGTGATTAATAATGATAATAATAATAATAAGAGGAATAATAGTAACCCGAATATTCCAATCTTTACACACACTCCCAATGCAATAATATAATAGACATTGATACTTGCGCAATTTATTAAAGCACTTACAGTAAAGCTATTCTAAGATCGTATATATTTATGCTTATGTCAAATAATACAAAGTGAGTTATTATATCGCCCCATTGAAATTAAAATAGGTTTGCCAATGTTATCATTGTATTAACAGCATAAAACAAGGAGAATACAGATATTCATGCAAGACAATAAGAAGCTTTCATTTTAATACAGGAACAAAAGTTAGAATAACCCATACTAATACGAATAATATTTTTTAAAGCAAATCATTGTTGTTTCTATTCCCATTACTATCTTTCTATTGCTACCTGCTGCATTTCCTTATTGCCGTTATAGCGCCAAGAATAACCGCCACTCTTATTCCCTTTGTTACTTGCCAACCAATATATCTTAGAGCCAAGCCACACGTTATTCCATTTGTTATCATCTATGTATTCGCAACACGTGCAATAATAATAACCTTTTGTGACCCCCAGTTCAGTCAAAAACGCACAATTGATCAAACGATAACAACCAAAAACAAGAGGAAAAAACATATCATATCGAATGTCTTGTCCGTTTTTCGTGCTCAGATTTATCGCACCCCTCCATTCTAAAACGTGATCACGTGCCATAAATAGTTTAAGAAATGCAGGGGATATAAACTTTATATTTAACGAACAGACACTTGTATAACGTAAGTTTGTATTGATCGTTTGGAGCTGTCAACGTATTAACTGTTTCTAGAATTTTTTAAAACATCATTGTCATCAGAATACTTATAAGGCATGTGAATGCTCTGCATACACCGTCAAAGCACTGCACAGAACAAGACATCCTGATGATAATACTAATAACCGTGCAATTGTATCAATAGTCCAAAATAATAACAATAATGTCCATGAGAAGAAAAAAAGGTGTGAGTGATTTACTGGCATGATCGGAAAAAATGTTAAAACCATCGTCACATATTGCTTAACTGTTATTCGCAATTACTGCAAACCTTAAATTATAAAGTTATTTGTTAATAATTTTGTAACGCTCCTTTTTTTTTTATTAAAACTTAACAAATTGTCAACAGAATTAAAGTTATATATCTACAGTTTCGTATAATAATTAATATACGTGCATGTCTGAGAACAACTTTACATGTAAAACTTCTAATTTGACCACTGCTTTCGAAAAAAATTTTTTAATAAATTGTTTTCTTAATTTCAGATTATAAACAAACTCTTTATAATGGTGGTAAAGCTAAATTGACACATGACATCTACGCCAAAAAAGCATTCAACAAATACAGCCATCAGCCTTGTTGCTAATCAAATATTTGTTAGACATCTTAAATCGTATGATTTACTACTCTGCCAAACCAGTATTTGAATAAAACTTTATTATATAAAAAACCAGCGACGTAATTGAATTTAATAATCAACTTTTTACGGCGCCAACCCGTGATTTTGGTTGTACATCCAGAACACGCTAGATCCACTCGTCGAAAGTCGCTTATTGCACATTATTGGTTAATGGTTCAAATAAACAATGAATGGCTTGATAAATATTCTCGCGAAAATTCAACGTCCTAGCACCTGCATTTGATTTTATCATCCGTATTTGAGGAACAAAGTCTACTGAAAGCCTAAAAGCGAAATCTCGCCGCTGGCTAAACAAAGTTAACTTTTCGATCATCCCATTTATATTTTTTAATTATATACCAAATTTTTGAAAAATAATAATCGAAACAACGTTGCCCTTTGTATGCCTTTAACGCCTACTACGTGTTGATATACCTTAATTTTATGCCTTTATCGTGATGAACGGGTAACCTTTATCGGTTGTAATATTGTGATTGCAATCGTATATATATTTTTTGTTATGAACAGAAGTCTCTGTGCTAATGTAATGATTTGGTTAGTTAGAACGCAATAGGCAACCCTATAACGCCTACCGTATTAGGAAAACGTGTCATCACGCTCAAACTTCACGCTAAGCTAATAACGCGAAACAAGAATGTGGCATTTAATTGTTTTGGGCACATGATTTCGCTCTATAATTTCAATTGACAGATCTCAAACCAATATTATTTATCTCCTTGAAGGTTTCTCATTCCCAACCTGAAGGTCTGGCACAGAATCAACTGAGGACTCCACATAATCAAAATATGCACATTAGGGATATTGCGCAGAGTACTCATTTATTTGATTTTTATAAACGACTAATCTATATACTATCAAAATCAACATTAGCATGAATCATATAATATACTGGAGTTTGAGAAACCTCTGATGTAGCTGTCACTGCGGGTTGCTGTGAACCCGAGCCTTCTCCAGCTGAGCCTTCTGCAGCTGATACTTCTTCAGCTAATATCTCCCCAGCTGAGCCTTCTCCAGCTGATACTTCTTCAGCTAATACTTCTCCAGCTGAACCTTCTGCAGCTGATCCTTCTCCAGCTAGTCCTTCTCCGGTTGGTCCTTCTCCGGTTGGTCCTTCTCCGGTTGGTCCTTCTCCGACTGGGTCTACATCCATTTGTTGCCGTTCTTCACTACTTTCTTGAAGTTTGATTAGATAGTGATCCTGTATTATAATTGTTTTTTTTTCGATTAGTTTTCCGATTTGAACATTGATCTTATATGAACAATAGATCTTGGACAATGTATTAAATGGTTACCTTAACTAGCTTCTTTAATACTTTTTTGAAAAGCTTACTGATATTGTGATAATCCTCTTCAGTTTGCATTTCGTCTATTCGTTGTTCTTTGTACCAAACAGTCAATTCGTCTTCACTTATGGGGTCTAATATATTATTACATATAGTCAGACGCGATAGTTACAAAGTGAACAATTCTCATGCAATCTACAGACCATTATCGTTAGCCTTCAAGTGTGCCAGAATCATATTTCTGATACGGAAGTACTCTTCAGCTGTAATGCGGTTCTTGGCTGTTTCTGTTGTCACATTATCTGCGGATTGTACATCTTGCGTCGCTATATCTCCACCATCAACACGATCTTCTTCAATAGAATCCATTTCCTGAGTGCCACTACCACCCTGAAGCGCTTCCTCAGTTTGCATTACGCTATCTTCTAGCTCGTAATCAATATCATCGTCTTCATCCAACGGCACATCCTCTTGTTCGACACGGATTATGGATTTGCGTAACAGTTGGCTCGCTTCATCCACAAATGCTGCAGTCACCTTCGGATAATGAAATGGTTAGAATATTTCGCACACAGTAATCACGACATGAACATGAAACAGTAGCCCCGGTCTCCATCTTACCTGAGTTTGAGCGTGTGCTTTAGCGATTGCTTCTGATAATCGTATCATGCTCTCCAACTGTCTGACGGTTATTCGCGTTGAATTCCGGGTGAAACCAGACGCCTCATCTTGTCTCATGTCACGATACCTACGCACAAGCAATTTTGTGGCTTCCGGAGTAAGCTAAATTATAAAATATAATGAGCTCTCTGAATTCGCATGATTGTTGATATGCGCATTAAACTAACCTGCGGCCGGAATGTTTTCGCATATCGAATGTATCGCTGTAACTGCTCTGTTGAATAGGGAGCATTGCTCTCAATCATATCATCGAGACGACGATGCATGTCGAGAATATATTTTGCGATGCTTACATCAACGCTCTCGTTACAATCGTCAAGCACGACAAAAAACAAATCGAAACGGGACATAATGGGTCCCGACATTCCAATATTTTGCTGGAAAGTTGATGATAACTGTCATTTATCGAATAATTCATCCAAAACCAAAAGTTTCTGTGTTTACTTACTCTTAAAGTCAACTTTCTATTATATCTTCCACCGATAGGGTTTGCTGCAGCTAGAATTGACGTCCGTGCATTTAGGGAAGCATGGATACTTGCTTTCGCAAGTGTGATTGTCTGTTGTTCCATCGCTTCGTGTATTGCTACTTGATCTTTGAGGTCCATTTTATCGAATTCGTCAATACAGCAAATTCCCTAATGTGTACAAAGGGCGTTATACATTATAGAACACGACAAAACATTATATAAGATATATTATCCGAATGTTGAATACATTGTCGGCCAGCAGCAATGCACCGGCTTCAATGGTAAAATCACCAATTTCCTCGTCCTTCACAACGGCAGCTGTTAATCCTGCTGCACTGGAAGCCTTGCCCGATGTATATATGGCACGTGGATGTATGGCACAGACATATCTATTCAAAAGGTACAATGAGTCTTTTTGAATAGCAATCAATCAATAACAAAATTTTTGATTCTAGATATTTACTTGAGAAATTGACTCTTGCTTGTACTTGGATCACCAACGATACACACATTGATGTCCCCTCGAAGGTTTATTCCTTCTGTAGTTGTCTTGTGAACTCCGCCTAGTAATTGAAGTAATATCCCTTTCTTTATAATTTCATGACCTAAATTGTAATTAATATTAAAAGATAGCAACGAAGGATGAACTCGATCAAACGTTTGCCCTTACCAAAAACATTAGGTGCAATGCTTTGCAGAAGCTTTTCGTATAATCTGTCAGATGATATCATATCTTCCAATTCATTCCTCTCGTCCATAGTCAGAGAAGCGAGGAATTCCTCTTGTGTTTCCTCTGTCGTGTGCGAATCGAATGCTTTCATCTATTGATCGCATTTATACGATTAACCTGCCATGTCTTTAACATAATTTCTCAAGCAGTGACTAATTAATATTAGGCTAAATTAACCTTTGTGCTGGCTGATTCCACTGAGCATGCCAGGAAACATAGCCTATATGTCATCTCTCGTGCTCCAAGGGCCTTGAGACCGGTAACACCTGCATTCACAAAACCTTCGTTCGCCCTCGCGCGATTATCCCGGCGTAATTCCATTGTACCGCCTGTTGAGTGTTAGGTATTATCGTAAGTCAATGAGGTCGATAACGTGCGGCATGTAAACATTATGATGTTCTATACCTGGTGCACCTAGTTGAGCGATGTCTGGCACAACAATTAATGTGCCCGTAAATATGGATTTGTCTCCTGGTTTAGTACGTTCGACTATTTCATCGCGAAGTATGACATCAAGACTAAGGATTCACAAACGTCAAGAGTGGATTAACATTTTCGTATAAGCAATATACCAGTCTAACAGGAATACTGCCCATTTCTACTTACGTCCTCGGCATACTACCGGTAGGTATTTCATCGGGATTTTCTTGAACCCGAACACGTTGCCAATCGACGAATTTGGACTTTTCGAATATGAGTATGAAGGAGGATCTATTGGCGCACGTCGGATTTGGACAAACAGGAGGCTTAAAGACAGTGATTAAAATTATGATGTAAAAATTTATATCAAATCATCAACGTTAATTCCAAAGCAACTATCCTACGATATTTTTTACGCAAATTAAAGTTGTACTTAGGTATTTACCTCAGTATATCGAAACTGTTGCTCTATGTTGGTAATAATAGCCTTGCACTCTTGACACTGAAAAGTTCCCATTACTAATTCAGGACGCACTTCACTAGTGCGAGTCACCGTTCCCTTTATACTGATCAAATGCCCGATTTTATCAGCTCGCAAACCTCGAATACGAAGCTGCGTTGGGATGTTGTAAAAAGCCGGCGAAAATTCACGCTTTATGAGAAAAGCCTGGTTGGGATTTGAACCAAGTTCGGCCGCATTCTCGTATTGATAATGAGGGACAATCTTTGCGGCCACTTGTTGAACTGCCTCGCGAAAGTAGGATTCGAATCTTAACGCGCAATAGAATTAGATGTATTAAGATAATTAATCAATCAATCTTCAAACATAGAATATAGCGTAATTGAGTACTTGTAGTAATGCTTGATGAGGACTTCAGAAAGACTATCGTTGGCTTCGGTTATATGTATGTAGTCTACGTAAAGTGTACGAGTTCCTTCATCCGCCATTCTCTTGATTTTTTCAATGTATATGTGTGTTCCATCCTCCAAGTCTGTGCTCGAGCCATTGATGGTGAAACTTTTCGAGAGTGGTAAGACGCGTTTTAGTGCACGAACGCATAATATTATACGAAAAATTCCATTCTCGCCTCAATACACATTAAAGACACGTCAGAACGCAATGAACGGCAGTTGACACTTGCTTTAGAAGAAAGTCTTCAAACCAACTCCTCACAGTTTCCGAAAATCTGTCCACAACTTTTGGTATATCCCCTGTTTGTGTTGGCTTGGTCCGCCTCATCCTCTGGAACCCACCGACCTCCTCCGCTTCCAGGCTTGCTATCGATTCAGGCATGTTGACACAGTATAGGTATTCTGGCAACGCGTAGGTTCGAATGATTTCGATCGTGTCATATGTGACACGCACAAAATTTCAGGTGGTCCCACCTGTTACAATAATCGAATTCGAAAATATTCCTCATGGAGTACAATCTTCAGAGTTGCAAATATTAATTAATATGTAGCGTGCTTATCTATATAATGAATAGACTTTTTTTTCACAGGATGCACTGATAATGTCACGTTTTCCTTACGCTTTGGTGATAACAAGAGCTTACTGTAATTTCTTATATAATTATAATAATAATAATAAGTAATCAGAGGTCCCTCGTTTACGTGTACAGTGTTCATTATAACGAGTGCTATAGACGAATTGTTCAATTGGGGCGAGAGAATAAATCGCACTTTCGTGGCCATGAAACAGTAATAAATACAATAAACTCGTCTTGTCAAATGTGATGTCGCATGTTCATTTCAACATTTTTCGGTTGCATAACAAAAACTAGACGAGTTGTTACCTCTTCGATCCCCGATTTTTATTTCGATGAAACAAAAAATTAAATTTATTATTATCAAATTATAGTTGGCAACATGCAGAAAATAATTTAAGTTCTTTTTTTTACATCAGTAATCTATACTTTATATTGCTATTCATTCGTCATCTACACTAAGGTCTCTATTAATATCGCCTACCCTCCATACACAACTCGCTTCTTCCTCGTCTTCCGCGTCAGTGGCTGCTCCTTCTATACGTAATTGCTCACGGCGTTGCTCTTCTTGATTTATTACTTTCATCAAAGCACGACGATGTACTTCGGTGAATGCTCTAGACGTTTGTTGATCTGCGGATGACAAGTATCGCTAGGAAAGGTGAGAATGTCAAAGACAGACGCCAGAGTCAATTAGATGCTGTTGATATGAATACCAAAGACTTGCGTAGTAGAATCTGTCGCGACACTTACCTGCATTACGCTTTCACCAGATATCAGTTGCAATGTGAAGACTAACGCGCGTTCTGCTGCCAGTTTTATTGGCAGATTTCTGTCACGAGCACACGCAACAACCGATGGGACAAATATTGACAGATTCGTTTCGAGAATCTGCGTAATGACACTTAATAGCTTAATTGACGTTTAAATCATCACAACTGTTTACTCATGTATCAACTAACCTCAGGATACTTTTTTCCGACTGTGCTCAACACGACCAATGCCAATCGCCTAGTCTCCACGACAGACGTGGCAGGCTCACGGATATTATTCGTAAGTATTATTAATAGTTGTTTAATTATGTTTTGTTCATGGTACATTTCCGTCAGAAGCATTTTACCCGTTGCTAATATTGCATTGTCTGCTATATTCGGCTGTGAAACGTTAGCGAAGTTAGCATTAACACTAGTCCGTATCATTATATCTAATAAATCTACATGCATAAATACCTGACTACTCGCAGAGTTATTTGTAAGGGTATCGATGACTTCCTCAGTCAATCCAAGCTGTTGAAACATTTGTGGAGTTTCAACGAGAATCGCATTAATGGCATACAATGAACCAAGTGGTGGAGCGCCCGGCGTCAATACATAAGAACTAAAGCAGTAACAAACAAATTCAGTATCTTATCCATGGAGAACTTTAATAAATCTAATTGATATCATACGTTATTATGGATCTCGTTTCTTCGGGTGATATGTGCTTACACAGATTTCCAAGCACTTTAGCCGCACCAATGATCATCCCCTCTAGAATAAATCAAGACGCGTCAGTGAGCATCGCGTACCTGCATTTGAATTACCATCATGCTATAATCTTACCAGCCGTATCGTTCAAGCCTGTTGAAACAACGCCTATTACACCCTTCTTTGAAACTTCACTCATTCCACCACCCGCTTTATTAAGAACACTTGCTAATGCGCTCAACATAGTTTCCTTAACATTCGGCTCACTAGACTTGATTCCAGACACCAGCTCAGCTACCAATGGATCAACACGCGTTTGCAAGGAAATTAGAATGCCAAGTGCAGAAGCTGCGCGGATGCGCACTTGGGCCGATGACGGATCAGTTAAAGATTTGATAAACGTGCGTTGAAGTTGAGGAAGGAAAGGTTTCAGATGGGTTGGAACTTTGGTAAGGAGAAGACTATCAGAAACAAATAAAGGCATTTGGATTAACAAGTCGACGCGATTGCAAAAAAACATATTGAAAGCATGCAACGAACAACTCGGAAGAATACCTCAAAGTTTGTAGTATGGCTGCCTTCACTTGCGGTGGATACCTCTCACCAATAATACGAATCAGTGGTCCAGTAATCTGTGTAACAAATGGTCTTAAGGCTTCCGCTGCAGTTCTCTGAATAAGATCCCCGATGCCCAATGCCGCCTGTTCCCTTATCTCTGCTGTACCGTACATTAACCCCTGCGAGAAAATAGGTAATATCGGGCTAATGCCCTTTGGCAAACAAAATCCAGGTAAATCAACGCCAGCGATACCAGTATTCTTTACTGCTTTTCTCACAGGTACTACTAATCGTTCCAATTCTTCTCTCTTAACAGAACTCGTTACGGCGTGCAGCGCTCCCCACGCTGACCGTACTACGTCCATCTGACGATCATCGAGTAGCGATATTAATATATCGATCCAGTCAACGACGTAGCGCGAAAAGTCCATGCTGCTTTCGCTGCAGAAAATGGCAATTACATCGCATGTTGCTGCGCGTTGAGAAGGCTGTTCGCTTTTAACCGTCTCGAAAAGCATCATCATTAGAGTTTGTAGTCCTTCCGCGTTGTCAATAGAAAGTAATAAGGCTTTCTCAGTTTCACGTAATTCTTGTATTGTCGCCTGATTAGTCTCCATAATGATTGAATTCATCAGAGCCGAGAGAATATTTGTAAGTCGTCTATTCAACACTGGACCGGCAACGGTTACAAGAGACGCAAGAGCGCGAGCGTTAAATGTTGTTATAGGTACAGTGATTAAAGTTGGGATAAGAACAGGGAATACAATGTTGGCTCGAACAGTCATGATTTCCTTAAGAGCTTCTAAAGCATAGGTAGAGTTCTCTTCTGATTGAAGTGAATTTAACAGACTCGGGAGAATTTCATCGATTGCCTTCGGTCCCACATGTTGTTGGAGTGCATCGAATGCTACAAACAATGATAAAGAAATTAGGATATCATTTCAATCAGATTTATCACAAAATCATTGTTTACCTTGAGCAGCAGCTTCCCTTACTTCTGCAGATTCATCCACTAAAGCTTTCCTCACCGCCGATATAATCGAATCCATAAAGTCAATAATCTGTAACTTTCCGGCCGTGCCCATAATTTCACTTAATGCAATACAGACACCTTGTCGAGTACCAGATTCAGACGAATCCAAGCCTTTCTCCAAAATCGGAACAATCTCAGATAACACGCTTTCTCCCAACTTTCTCACGAGTTCGCCCAAAGTTCTTGCAGCAACTTGCCGTTGGTCGATGCTCGTACTGGCAAGGTTACGGATTATTATTGTCATCATTATTGGAAGCATTTCTTTTATTGTTCGAGGTGTGTTTGAGACTATTGCTTTCCAAACGTGAAGCGCAGATGAACGAACAAGGGCAGCCACTGTGAATTTAAAAGATGTGAGCTTATGCAAGAAAAAATTTTCGACATTTGAAAAGGAAAGGAACAACGAGCTTTTCTCACCATCTTGCCTAACAATATATAACGCGGCAAGCACACGATCACGCCTTTCTCTTCCGAGTGTTTCAAGTAAAGCTTTTCTACTGGCTTCCGTCCCGCCTGCCTCATCTTCATCTTCCCCAATATTCGATTTTCCACTGATACCCGTAATGCGATAAAGCAAATCACCCATGAGCTGTACAGAGCTTTGTCGAATCCTCCAGTTGTCATCGAACAACCCTCTCTCTAGTTCGGGCAGCAACAGGTCTACAGCTTTATTAGCGTAATTTGTAACGATCATCTGACCAGCCCGTAATGAAGCATCTCGAACATATTCCGAATCATCAGCCAGACCCGAAAGAATAGCCGGAATAGTACGGCCAAGATAGGGCTGAAAACGCGTTCCGAATGTCGCAGGCAGATAGATAAGTAACGACATAAACCCTTCCCTCACATAATGCTTTTTACTTCCCGTATTTGTAATGATCTCTGGCAATAATCCGTCAAGTTTCTCTAAACCAAGTCCAGCCAAAATTTCACTCAATCCTTGTGCTGCACCCTGCCGGTCGACACCGCTAGTGTCTGATCGAAGTGTGTTAATCAAATCATCGATTAGTCCAGGGAAATTGTCTTCGCCAAGTTTTTCAACCATCGATCCAAGAGCCTTTGCTGCAGTTGCGCGCGCTTCCGGTACTGGATCGACAAGGACCTCATTAAGGCCAGGTAATAGGCGAGACAGATATGGAATTAAGTCGTTCACATCAGTCAAAAACGCCATATTCCCAACTATTTGAGATGCTTTCTTTTTTATTTCCGTGCCGCGTTCTCGTAAACCTCGTTCTAAAATAGGCATTACCTGAAATAAATGACGTGTAAAGCATTGCATAATTACAATCTGAATAAAAAAATAAAGATTAGAACTGTCATTGTTATTTGATGGTACAAACCAATGCCAGCGAGGGTGCATCAATATAATGCACGAAAGCCGTTTCAAGCAAATTATCCAAAGCAGCCTGCGTATTCTTGTCAGGATCGCTTAAAGCTTGTAATAGTACAGGTACTAAAGCTTGAATCTCGGGATTATTAATGATTTCTCCGAAATGTAATAGCGCCTGATTCGCCGCAGATTGAACGTGTGTATGCGAATCTGTCAATACTTCCGTCAATCTTGGAACGATCGTGGGCAAAGAAATCGACAGCTGCTTGGGGGCGCAGAAAGCCATTGCTCCCAACAGTTCAACCGATCCTTTCTTTGTACGCCATTGAGTATCCTTGAGACCCTCCAACAACGATGGGAGAATAAGCTTGACACAATGTCCACTAATTTTACTCATTATAGCTCGAGATGTTTCTGCAGTTGCTTCACGAACGTCCGGATTGCTATCGCCATAACATGCCAAAAGTAGCGGTAAAATCTGTATAACGTAGGGCTCAAACAATCGACCCAGTGATAGGGAAAGCGTCTCAAACGCAAATAAAGCTCCTTGTCGACATTTGTAATCCTTCTTATTATCAACTGCTTCATTTAGTTGGGCCATAATTCGACAGTCCTTGAGTGCTGCTAAGCCCGCACCTTTGACAACCCCCGCTAGACCATAAGCGGCTCCTCTTCGATGAGCGTATTTTTCAGAATGAAAGAGTTCGTTCATCAATTGCTTTATTAACGCAGGGGCTACTTCTTTGGAAGTTTTCATTAACGGAGGCAGACACTGTGCAACGGCTTGTTGAACAGGTTCAGACGGGGTCTTGAGTGTATCCAAGAGTCGGTCGATGACAATTGGAATCCTCGGATCTTCCGAATTCAAATTCTTTGCTAACGCACCAAACCATATGACAACAGACTCTCTTATTCGATCGTGAACCTCTGAATCAATTGGCGGCTGGTCCAGATATTGCTCAAAAATTGGCATCAACGTCGACAAGTGTCTGGTACCGTGTGCATCTATAAGAGCCAATCCTACATCAAGCATTTTCTCTCGCACTCTGTCATTGCGATCGCCAACTGCCTCATTGACAATAAGAAAGTTTAACAGACTTTCAAAATTTTCCTTTTCCAGTTTCGGAGCTAACATTTCGAGTGCATAAGCTAGACCGTATCGAGATTCCCATGGGTCTTTCTTGTTGAGCGATGACTGTATTATCATTCCATATTCGTCGTATTCCGGTTGTATAGGTCGTGCCTATTTACATAGAAAAAAATTAATGACGCAAACAAATATCGTTTACTTTGTATCTAACTTGTCAAATTCAATCGCATACTTCTTCTTTGAATCGTTGAAAAATCAGTTGCAACGTATCAGAAACGGTATTTTGGTAATATATTACTGCATTTCCAAGTGCCTTAGCTGCGGCAATTCTAACATTCTCAACCTCATGCACGACAAAGGACAATAATTCCACCGCATAGCAATCCTCAATGTCCATTCCGTTATCGTCCCACAATTTAGTAGCTAGACGGCTGCAGCTGGTATCTTCATCAAAGCACGCAATCCATAGCTCTGTCGCAAAATCAAATTCTGTGAGGTCAAGGAATTCAAGTGCTTGCAGACATGCGTGTCTCAAAAAAGATTCAGACACAAGAAGACCACGAAACAGTACCGATATCTCGGTAACAGTTGCGGTCTCACTAATGGCCTGACAAAATTCCATGAGCGTATTTCGAGCCTTCTTTGATAACTTCGGAACTTCTTTGATGATAAGCAACAACGATTCAAGCATACTTTCCCGGGGTAAAAGACTAGACGCGCCCCTTGAACAATGGAATTTTATGATATCTAGACTTAAAGCAACCTGCTCAAGAGCGACGCCACCGGCGTACTCTGATTCGTGATCATAGCTTGCTTCGACGTACTCTATTCCTTTCTTTTGAATAATTTCATAAATTAACGCAAAACAATATGTAAAAGAAGTGGGGGAAAGGGGTGTTCGTTCTGTTATTAATCTTAGTCGAAATAGTACGCGAGTACAAAGATGTCCTAAAGGCTCCTCTTGCCACTGTTCAGGTACTTCTTGAATGTCCATAACTCGTAATGTAGCAATTCCAACATACAGTATGACAGATTTTACACTATCGTCCGTACATTCTCCAATCTTCAAATAAGTCTCAACTGCTTTCTGACCAAATAATTTGCCACCCTTTTTCACAACAACATTTAACAGTTGCATTAATTCCGATATCCTTTCTCCCATTGCTCCGGAATTCCCTCTAATCATAGAATCGATAATATCTAGACCTCGCAACATTTTTTCTCGAATTTCATTTACATGTTTTCGTATCTGCGATTCTTTAGCGAATTGGGCATCTACAGCTGCCTGTTCATCCTTTGTCAATTTTGGCGTATCAGTATTAGAAGCACCTTTCTTCTTTGCAATTTGTTCGCGCACCTCGCGTTCCCACCTCTCTGTCTGATAATCTTTACGGTTACGGTCTTCTACAATCTTATTCTTGTTACGTTTCAACACATCAACGAAAAGTTCATTCTCTTTAGTTTTCCAAATACCAATTTCATGATCTCCTATCCCATTCAGTAATGCCACATCAAGATCTCTGTGACATTGTGCCATAAACAAAGGCACAATCACTTCCGGATGAATAAACACTAGAGTAGATATCGAGTGCATAGCAGCTTTGTAAAAATATTGAGACTGAAATAATCAAGTTGATCAATAAGTGAGCGTTAACGAACGTGTCTCGCGCAAAACATGTGACTTTGGATTCAGACTCACCTCATATCCTACGTTGATATTATCCAGTACCAGTTGCCGCAGTTTTCCATAATGAGTTTCGACTATTTTTCCAGGATTTAATCCGGCTCTTTGAACTAAGCTAATCCAGTTATATTTATCTGTTGGAGAGACTATTTTACAGAGCGTAAGAATTAATACAAGGATAAATTTTTACTCTTGCGTATAAGTGATTAGGAAAATAAGATCCACACCTATAGCTGGATGGTGCGCTAACACTAACAAATTGACAACCGCATGTTCGGCTATCAGAGAGTCGACATCCTTCTCGAACGTTGTAATCGCGGTCAAGACTGTGGAAAGTCTATAAGCCGACGTTGTTGGATCTAGGGATGGAGAACTTGTAGCAACCAGCATTGCGGTAGAATCTCTGCTGCCCTTTTCGAGCTGCATAAGCGGATTTCAAAAAATCATTACAGTTGATAATATATATATATATATATAATGTTTAGAATTTGGCTCAAAAAATCGGCTAAAGTTGAAAGCACCTGCATACAAAACCTACTTTGCACTTACATTCCCTACCCAATTCCTCAGTCCCTCTTGCAGGATTTCACCCACTAATGGCGCATTTTCCTTATTGCAACGTACTAGCGTGTCATAGGCTTCCCTGCGCGTTTCATGGTCGTTTGCCGCAGTAATTAAGTAGATGAACGCAACGGCTAATGCAATCCTAAATCATAGTGATATTAACTTAAATACTTTTACTTAATTCATACAATTTCTTTGTTGCTGCTTACTTGACTTCCTTGGCGTCTACTCGTTCATTTAATAAAATTCCCTCGAGCGCTCTTAAAAACCATCTTCCTTCCTCGAAAGTAGTAAATTTAGAATAAACCTTATCCCAAAGCAAAAACGATGGCTTTGGGCTAGTCACAAGGATAATGTTTCGTAGATTTTTCGACTCGATCAAACCATCTATAATAAATTAAGTTTCACATTCAACGATAACCGTAAATTTCACGTAACATTGCCCCGCTAGCTTTCGTATCCTTACCAATCTCTTCATCTTTCCACTTTTTCACCCGTTCGATAATAGCTATACAAACATAGGCCTCAACCGCCCCGCCTGCAGCCAATGGATTTGCAGCAATCTTTTCGGTAATACCAATAAGCAATTCTAATCCTTTTCTCACCAAAGTTCTCAACTTGACGCTTGCATCTTCTCTGGCATCCCAGACAATATTCCCAAGCCCCAAAGCCCACGAACGCCTTACAGGTAACTTGGCGGAACTGATACCAGACGTGATAGCCGTAATAATCCTGCCAAAGAGTTCTTGTTCCGTTTCGGTAGATAAGAGAATTGGAACGTATGAGGAAAACGCTTGGATGCCTTTAGAGAGAGAATTCTCATTGATTTCTTTTGACAGGAGAGGAATAAGCCCAGAAATAAGCGAAGGAACCGTGAGCGGGGTTCTATGTAGAAAACTTAAAACTGTATACAATGCTAGACGGTGGTCGGGAGAAGAGACTCTTGCTGTTATGAGAGGCACATAGTTGAAGAATTATAGAATTTGAAAGGGAGTAGAAAGACTTTATCAGTTTCCGTTACTTAGTTGATTTCTGAAGGAATCGGTCAGCAAGCGCTGTTTCGGATGAAAAGTATTTAAGTGAAATTTCCTAAGGTTTTTAGACCGTTATTACCATCAAATATAAAGCACCCGATATCTTTCACAGACGGCAAACGTGTCCATACATGCAACTCTGACCGACTTTTTTTTTCTACACGCACATCTCCACCCCAAATTTCTCAACACATACTAATTGCTGAAACCAACCTCCACTTAAAAGCTTCATGACGTCGGCCCCAATCTCAACAACCACCTCATCCTTCCGACTTTTCTCCGTAAACGCACACAGCAATGCTACGGCATTGGCTTGAACGGTCTTATTACTGGACCGTACGAGTGTTAAGAGTTGTTGTAGAAAATGTGCCTTGAATAACTCGGAAGTGTCAAACGAAAGTGAGTTTACGAGAGGATTGAGGACTGTTAGGGAGAAAAGCAGATTAAAATAAAAATGAGTGTCTTGGACAATTATCTGTAATATTATAACATGATTACTCTCACCATTAAGCACTATTTCTGGAGCACGGAGCAATAGCTTTTGTAGCGAGGGGACAAATTTCTCGCCAAATTCTCCCTCAGATATCATCGTCGCAATAAAGTCGTTGAACGCTTCCGTTGCATTGCGATTGACAATTGTCTTTGATCCGGCGACAGCTGTCAGATAGTACTGAATTATGTTGTCTTTTTGGTCCTGAACGTACTTTTTTCCATCGTGGGTTTTTAAACGTATTGCAACGTCGATAATCGTCCCTAATAAGATAGAATTACGATATGAAGGTGTTGTCGATTTTGTTGTAGACGTCAAGTGGGTGATATATAGAGGAATCATTAAAGGAATCTAGGAAAAAAGAATATCGCATAAGAAAGGACATATTCATCGGGTATTCCAATAATATTCAACTACTTCCACCAGTCTCGCGTATCTACCATACCTTCCTAACGCATCGTCTGACGTCAACAATGGCACCGCGCCTAATAGTCCTTCGTATTTTGTCATCGATTAGTGAATCTAACAATATAGCTTGCAACTCGATCAACTTTGTCTTAATTGAATCATCGGACTGTGCCGCAAACACAATAAGAGCATTTATCCACGTTAACAAGACGAATCGGTTATTAGCTGACGTTGTGTATGACCTGCGCGGAATAAGCAGGGTGTAAAAAGAGGTTAGCTAAACAAAATTTGACAATAAATCATGTGAGGAGGATAAGCATCAGAGTTCGGAAGGTTGTGTATTCAACGAATTCTCATGATTTGTTGTTAAACTCCGCATCGCCGTCTACGATATTGTTCAAATCACAGGACAAGGTTTATATTACACATTACTTATATTTACCCATCCGAACTCTTTTTATTCAACTCCTGCGCTTCATCAACAATCAATGGAACAAATGCTTTGAGGAATGCTTCTGCTTTTTGCTCGTATAACTCACTAAATATCGTAAGAACGGCTTGACGTGAAGCACGGTCATCGTATCGAGTGTAAGTACGAAGTAGTGACTGTAGAATTCTAGGAAGAATTTTCTCTGAATAGCCTACAAATTTTTATGAAAATAATTGTTTGATAATGCCAGTGACATCTTTCTTTTTTGATCAAACCATGCTCTACCTCCAGCTCTGATTTTTGTGAGTAACGCGTTCAAAAACTCTAGCCTTGTGTTGAGGTCGGAGCTGTAAATAGCTGAGCCACGATTCTTGAACAAGTCACTCAAGGCTAGATCAAATACATTTATTTCTAGTATATCCTTTGTGGCCATCTGTGATTTGTCGGATACAATGTTTCTCTATTGACAGACTAGTATTAGCTATTTTGGTGTTTGCCTCTGCAAACTTTTCGGACGATTAAAATCTATGTCACGTGATATCTAAAATTTTTTCGGCACGTGGTGATGGACGCAATCTGTAATAGTAACAGTAATGATTATGATTTAAGATTTTCAACGAGTATTTATTTAATCTTGTGGTTGATATAGCAGAAGTGACCACTAAAAGGGAGCCCTGCCCGACAGTCATTTGCCCGACAAATATTTATTTCAAAGTTATCCTTTCTTGGTAGTTTTTGTGATTGTCGGGCAAATGAACCGGACCCATTTATATATAGTAATAGGGAAATCCGTTCTGTAACCGCCGTTGCTAATAGAGAAAGATTGATATTAACGGGTTGGATATTAGAGATGGTTCACTGCATTACAAGCCAGAAGCAATCTAGAATAGATCCATTTCTTTAAGTCGTTAATTTGACTTGTTCTTCTTTCCACGTGCTGGCGTTTATAATAAAATATTATTTACAAAAGTCTCGTATACCTAATATCACTTGACTTTAATCCAAACTCCGTTACAAAGAGTCTCGTTTTACCGAATTTCTCGTCATGACGAGTCAAAGACGCGACGGCTTCGGCAAAACGGGTTCAACTGTAAGGCATTAATTGGTGTCACAATTTGCGGAACGCATCATATTTTAACAATTTCAACGTGCTGTCGTTTTCGAGACCTGCGATAAAATCACGATAGACCGATTTGTACTCGTTCCAGCTGGTAAAAGTGTAAGCGATTAAGTAATGCGATTGACATTTCTACGAGTCCATGAATTTCAGCATAATTCTCGAGAAAATTCTTCACAGCTGTAGCAACGGTTTTCCCACTATGCAAACTCTTACTCGACAACTATAATACAGGAACGAAAAAAGGTTGAAAAAGCAAATCTTAAAGTCGTATTTTCTATAACGTTTCTGAACCCAACTTTGCATTAGCTGGCTGTGAAGCAAACATATGATAGAGATATTAGAGATTGTTGGGACCTCTATGTCTGAGAAATTGAAAAGTGTATATTCAAGGAAGTGAGTATATGAATCAGACAATGTGAGTCCATAATATTCTGGCTGGGAAATAAAGACATTGGGGGAAATAGGAATCAGGATCGGAATATTGAATTGGCCGAATTTCTTACTCAATATGGAGTATTGATCACGGATAGGACAACTAATTGCTTCAAATTGTCTTCACCCCTCTTGCATTCCATTATCTTGCAAAAAGTTCTACTCATAATCTACCCCTCCTGCCCATTAATGGATGTCCCAATGTACCAAAATGGCATGATCAAATACTATTACTATGACGTTCTCATTGAGGTCTTATGCATCTTAGATGGAAAGAGCATCCAAACAGCAGCCAATTATTCACACAAGATGGCACCAGTGTTAGTCAGTGGTCAATCAAAGGCACGGGCTCCAAGAGAGAGTGTTTATCAACAGCAGATGGCTGCTATTACTATATATATACTAACATAATACTTATATTTAGAGTCTGGCTTCCTGTGGGAATTGAAAGGAGCACTTGATGAATGGTCACTGGGTACTGTAAGGTGTCTTGGTGGGTAAATGGTTCTCCTGGTGGGCCCATATACATATAAGGGCTAGATTGTTGAGGTATGATATCATCCTCACTACTATATTATTATCATAACTTGGCCTTCACAGAAATTTGTGTGAGTGCAAGATGGCTAGACCCCTTCAATTACAATGGGCCACAGACCATCAATAACAAAAAAGTATTAAAGTGCATTGCTGTATATGTAATAGTTCTGTAGTGGCTATTTGCCTTGCTCTATATTAATATTAACTGTGCTATCTTTTGCTTAATTGCAGACTGAAGAGTTGTAAAGTTATACAGAATGACAATTTAAATTAGCATCACCTTTTAGTGCTGGTAAGCAGTGAAAATTTTCTAACCATTCAGATAAGTTTATTCAAGTTCAGTTCTCCAACATGGCATAGTTGCTTTGCTTCAACACACTAGAATAAGAACACTTGCTTGAACTTTCAATTTATCACTTCTGTTAGTATTAGGCAATAATAATAATAATAATATAATCATTATATTCAGCAATTTCAATACCATTTTATTATGCCAATAATACAATAATATTTCTCAAACTTATCTAATATCCAATCAATCCAACTAATCTGAGATGAGATGCTTTTATATTTACAGCATCTATATTGGTTGAAAACCAAAAAAAAAGTTTCATGCTCTAATGATGAGTTCTAATGTGGGTACCACTGTCAAGACTCATTATACTGTATTTTCGCCTATTACTATGATGTGGTCAGGGACTGTCAACATCAAACTGCTCAGCAAAAGATAAATATTATTACTGGTTTTTAGTACCTTCACCTTTAACTAATTGGATCTGTTAATTGTTTCACAAATCAAAAAAGATAATGAAAATCAACTTGTTTACTTTGTCTGGTTTTGTTGCAGCATGCCCCATATTAATATGTTAAGAATTCCTGCATATGCAGATGTTCAAGAATTTGGTTCAGCTGTGCTTCCTGTCATCACTTTGGTATGGAAAACAAAGGTATGTGCTTTACATTTGAATTTTATTTTAACAATCATCAAGTAAAAGACCCTGTACTAGTACCACTATTTTGTCTGCATGGCTGCCTTGATCACATAACCACTGAGTTATGAGTGTAAATTTAATCATTGTGAGCAATACCATTAAGCTTGTGGAGCAAGATAGTGTAAAAGAAGAGGATGAAGAGGAACAGTTGAGACAAAACAGACCAGTTGTGAAACTTTTTCAGGTTGTCAATATTAATAGCTTCCACAAAAGCGAGATTTAACATATTAATATTCCATGATACTCCAAATACAAAGAAACCAAAAAAAAGTAATGATATTAATATTGCTTTATTACTTGTTTAACTATACTTCTAATGAAATGATTTTAGCAATGACAATGAGAATCTATATATATAATATATATGTGGCAAATTTACTTCCACCACATTACACATCTCCAAAATTAACAGTCTTATCATTTCAGCAATGGTTAATTCTTTTACATAAAATAATCATCAGACACTGGCAGAACTATTTCAGGAAATAAAATTAGAAGAGCATGAAATTTGTTAGTGCAAGCTTTGATATGTGCTTATGACTTAAAGTACATTGAGCTTTTATGATGAGTGAATTTGTTTCCAAGATAGAGGAAGTTGGATCTTGAGTTTTTTCTGGGCTCTTGTTTATGCTTTTATATAGACGTTGGCAGACAACAACTCACCCGCCGTCGGTTAATTAATGGGATGTGAGCCACTTATCTGTTTCTGACACGGAAAATAATAATCATCACGAAAATTTGCTGAATGATTTCACAAGACTGACAAAATTCTAAATTAATTTAGCGTTTGCGCTGACACGGAAAAATTGTCACGAAACAACGACAATTCTACCCCGACACGAATTTTCCGTCACGACACGGAAAATGCATCACGCTCTAGAATTAACAGTTTTGTGCGGAAGAATTTATCATTGACTCGCTCATCTGGTAACGCTTGTTATTGACAAGAAATTATCTGGTCAAACAGACAGACAACACTCATCGTTATAGGAAATTGAGAGTATGATGTGTTGATTTTGTAGTCTTCTCGAGAAGGGAAGAAATGGGATAAAAGAATTCGCTCAGTAAAAGGAAAGTTGTTCTCTATAATTATATATTTGCATTTTTGTACTGTTCCGTTTGCGAGCTTTAGATAAATGTAAA